AATGATTTTTGCATTCATTTCGTAATACATATCTGTACTGTCGTGAACACAGTAAATTATTTTTTCTACATGAGCACGATTTATTACTGCAATTTGTTTTTCTATAATTGCAGCAATCACGAGTTTTTTTAGATACCAATTGATTTGTTTCGAAATCTTGATTATCTTCAATACTATTATACGAAAAAATTTTCAATTAATAAAGTAAATAAAGAAAAATAAATGACTTAAAAATTACTCAAAAAATTATTTAAAATAAAATTTTACTTTGAAGATTGGATTAGATGCTTTAAAGGTTGAGTTAGACATGTTTGACTTTGTTTGATAGCTGCGCTTCTTAGTGAATTGGTTTTGTTTAATGGAACTACATCAAGATCTGGGTAGTCAGGTATATCTAATGGTATCAACTCACTTGCTGGATACCATCTTTTGAGCACTCCAAATTTACAAGCAATTTGATAAGAATCTTGATTTGATTTTTTTTGATTACTTTACAGGGCAATAATTTTCTGTCCATTTTCATCTTATCAATATCAGGAATTCAAATTTTTATAAGGTCACCTGATTCAAACATATGATTTCGCTTGGTTTTATGCTTTATTTCCATTGTACTTCTTATAATTCCTGATTTTTTTAAACATTTAGAATTGCAGCTTGTCTAATTTTTTCATGTTTTTCAAAAAAAGGTCAAGATGAGTTTGTGATAATTTGTAATAGTAACCTTGGCTAAAAAAATATAATATTAATAAACTGAATCTGTTAGTTATTATAATGCATTAACTAAAATACCCAATATAAAATATCTTACAAAATACATAATATTTTAGTCAATACACTATTATATTATCTATTATTTCATGAAATTAATTGTTATTACCTATGATTCAATAAGATTAACCTTTGTTTTTCCTTTTAGATAGATGGTTTTTGTTTCTGCATCACTATCATCTGATATAACTATTATTTCTGGACTAACTCTACTTATAAATTCAGAATAATCTAAAAAATTATAAGACCCTTCCTCAGAAGAATAATTTTCATTGTCCTCTGCTAAAAAGTAACTTGGATCTAATTCATCCTCTGAACTTTCTGGCAAGAAATAACATAGATCTAATTCATTTTTAAGCAAATCTTTATTTTTAAAAAATTCACTTTTTTCATTTTCAAAAGATTCACTTTCTTCATTTTCAAAAGAATCATTATAATCATCATGATTGTCATTTTCTAAAATATTGACAATATTAATATCGCTATGAAACAATTACCCAAAGACTACATTGTAAGGTGTGGTCTTATGTGCAGAGCAATATTGATTATTTATTGCCCTTAATAAATTGATAATAAGAAAAAAATTAATATACTATTTGAATTTTAATATTATTAAATCATATGAGTGGCGCAAAGCTAAACATGCAAATCCTTTAAGATTGCATGTTTATCTTTGCACTATTCATATACTATTTACTAATATTTACAAATCACAAATTTTAGCCTAACATACTTAACACTCAAGTATTGCATTCTCAACTATTTGCTGCGGGATAAAGCAATATCGAATTTGAATCTTTAATTGAATTATTATACAGATTAAATAAAAGATATCGATATTTATTATGATAATGACAATAATAATAAAATATAATAACTTTTTTTCAAGTTCTTTCCTGGCCATCATGTTCAATTTCCTGATGCGCATTGCAAATCACTTCATAAAAAGCTTCTACTGGACAAACTTGTGTCCCTAAATTAT